CTTCCCGTCCACAAGAAGGGACGTCTTCCCGTCCACAAGAAGGGACGTCTTCCCGTCCAGAAGAAGGGACGTCTTCCCGTCCAGAAGAAGGGACGTCTTCCCGTTCAGAAGAAGGGACGCCTTCCCGTTCAGAAGAAGGGACGCCTTCCCGTCCAGAAGAAGGGACGCCTTCCCGTCCAGAAGAAGGGACGCCTTCCCGTCCAGAAGAAGGGACGTCTTCCCCACGCAAAGTTTGTCAAATTTTGAAAGAGATACTTTCATATTTGTTGCTCCCTCTATTGTCTATGATCTTGAAGCTCATCATTCCAGTAAAGATTAACGACAAATGTTACAACATGTTTGCACCAGAGGGCCAGTATTCTATTTGGAAGCTTCAATCAAATTTGAGCTGGCTTTGCTTTTGGGACTCAAATGGGCTCCCATTGACCCTTCTGGGTTTAGGTTTGTCTGCTTTGATTTTTTACGAGGTTTTATCAAAGCTTTGCTGCAAAAGTGAGTCGTCAAGAGGTGCTGAGAACAGAAAAGAGATCCAAATGAAAACCAATAATAGTCAAGTTTCTGCAACTGGTGCTGATCCTTCCACCGAACAGTTGCAAACAGATGCGAACGAACAGGCTTCGACAAGTGGCATGCAAACCAACAATATTGAAGTCTCTGGAATCATGCACGATTTCACACAGTCCAAAAGAAATAGTAAATCATCAACCAGTACTGATTCGTCCAACAGGCAGTCACATACATCGTCAGGTAACGTGCAAGGGGTTGCAGTTGAAAACGATGCCTCCCAAGACGATTCAAACAGTGTTACAACCAGTAAAAAAAGGGACGACAAAATCGAATTCCATCGTAATGTTTGGCGAAATTTTGTCAATGGTCTCATTGCCTTCATTGGTGTATGTGTTGTAGAACCCTCTTTAAAGCAGGCATCAATCATGATGTGTCTTTTTGCATTCTTTGTTCGGCTCTACCACAGTTCTGATGGGCCATCAATCAAGCCAGAGCTCAAGTTTGAGTTGTTTGTCATTGCTTTATCAGCCTTTATTTCGCTTTTTACTTTAGGGACTCATAAATGTAGCGGCAAAGATTTTTCCTTAGCTTGCTCTTTCCACTATATTCGCTGTGCTGTCTTGATCTTTCTATTCTTGTCCTCCATCATTGCGATAGGTCATTGTCTAATCGTTTGCTTTATAAAATATATGCAATCCGAATCAACAACAAAAACTCAAGCAGATCAAAGCTCTAACGCTGATCAATCAGATCAAAACAGCGCTGACGCTACTGAAACTGATTATTTGTTGAAGGGACAAAAGGAGAATACCAATTATAAGTCAAATGAGGAAAATGTATGAGAAACGTTGAAAAAATATTGTCAATATATTCAGTGAAGTCAATTGATAAGCAAAATATGCCATAATCAAATATCATTATTGAAGCAAGCGAGCGGTGAAAAAAAAATTGTGCATCTATTCACTACCAATTCTCCGCCTCCTTCTCCACTTCAATAATGACCATATTTCATATTATAACAGAATTTATTAATCAAACATGTTTTGTTGTATTTTGAAATAACATAAGCAATAAAATCCACAAATTTACAAACGTTTTGTCTTACATCAATGGGCCGGCGCAGAATCTTTATATGTTTCCCCCACAATTCTCCCTTCCCCTTTCCCCCTTCTGTATCCCGTCCCCACCCCTCTCCAACTACGTCCACCTTGATGTCCTCTTTTCTTTGAAATTGAGAAGTGGAAAGGGTTGAAAGTTAACCAGGAAATTTAACAATGAAAGTAAAGATCAATCAGGTGCGTTGCTTTCCAGCTTCCCCTATTCAATATTGTCACTTATTTCACTTGATACTAGATTCATAGTTTCTACATTAGCTCGAAAATAGGTCAAGGATAGTTATTTCTTAGGGTGCTTTCGGCTGGCCGGCCAGTCCACTCTATTCAGAGGTAATAATGCTTTTTGACAACATTTGTCAGTCATTTCGAGGTTTTCTGTACAATAATGGATAGAATTTGAAAATTTGAATTTCCTAACTAAATGGGAATGATATATAATGGCATTTTCTCTGGGTCTGGCCAGTCAGTTCTGACAAATGGAAAGCGCACTTGTTTTAGAACTATAATATAATATTTCAGTAATTCAATGTCAACTATAATATAATACTTCATTGATTTAATGTCAAAATCGTTAATGTATTAGTTTAATCTCGAATGTAATTCTTAATTGTATTTTGAATTCATTTTTTTTTAATACTACACTGTTTTATAGATAGATGATAATTTTAGTAAGTGCTGATAGCGTAACATCAATACCGTGTAAATCTATTTCAGAAAACGTACTGAATCGCAATGCATTGTTGTTAGTCGCGTTACAAAATGACAATTCTAAATGTTATTGCTTTCCATTGAAGTTCTTGATTGTACGGAGCTGTTTCCTTTTCATCGGCAACTGAACGACCAACAATGCATTTCGGTCTTGGAATACAATATCTTCAGTATTTAACATTTTCTGAAATGCAGTATATTTGGAATAAAACTTGCAGTTGCACATGTAAAACATCGTTAAAGTATATTCTATACAGAGTCATTTTACATCTGCTGTGTATAGATACAACAAGTGACTCTGCTTACTTCTAAGTCTTGATATTCAGAGGGTCTCAATTGGGTGTCCGTTTCTAAACTTTTGGCCATATAACGGTCGACGGTTACCACAATCGAGAACCTCTATTTAATTAGAAAATTATTAAATTTAAATATAACCACATTTATGATATGACAATAAATCTAGTGAAAAAATCCAAATTTCTCTCTTTCCTGCACGAAATGCGATCATCAAAATCACTCAGAAAATCATTTTGACATTTGACTTTTTGAAACTTAATCATTTTTAGCACTTTGGTGTGCGATAGTCTATCACGTCTGTTCAAAAAACATAACACAAGACAAATTGGTGTTGCAAGGCGTTACGTGACGTAACAATGTCACGCAATCTCATGAATAGTCGAATAAGGGGCGGACCATTTAGGGGGAAGAGGGGGAGATTTTGTCCTTGCAAGATTTTTTTTAGGACTTCAGGCGCGTGCATGTAATTGTTTTGAAAATTTACAAAATCTTTAGTGCAGATTTTTCTTCAGATTTTTTTTTAAATCATAAGCCCCCCCCCCCTCCCCTCGCAAAAAAAAACAACAACAACAAATTCTAAGAAAAATATGAGAATACCTCAATGGAGGTACACTTTAACGGTTTCATGTTAGAATCCTACTTCCTAGAGGTAAATTTGCAGACTCCTTTATTGATTACATGCATGATCAAATATTTACAGTACAATTCCAATTGCACAAAGCTATTTCTAATTATTTGAATTATTTACCCAAACTAACAAATCCCGGGGAGTACCGGGGAATTAACACATTATACCCCGGGGATTTAACACTGTTATAACATCATAATGAACGGTAAGGCGGAGTAATTAATGTCTAAATCAAAGGATTTATTCCGTTTCAAGGACCTCCTTTCTTGGCCTCTGAGGACCGGAAAATGAAAATACTTTGACATTGTTAACATGTTAATTCCCCGGTATTCCCCGGGGTTTTGGGGGGCTTGTAATTGACTATTATGTATCCTCAACATCTGTTTATGTATCTATCTGTTTATATATCTCACTTACATGCAGTGGTACATACTTGAGAGCCACTCTGGAACTGAATTCTAGTAAAATGTCGCTATGAATATCACATATGTCATTGTTGATATTACAGTTTTAATTCCACTCCGCGAAACGAGAATAAACCTTTTTAGTGATCTCTTTTACGCTTTGTTAGCCTCAAAACCATGTAATAAATTCTTTATTCACTAACATCCTCTTGCAAATGCAAGATATTCTTGATTATAGAAGATAATGGAAATAGTTTGAAATTTTACGAGTTTTARATTTAAAAATCTCTCTTTGCACACAACTGAGCCGCTAACGCAGCGTAAATTAGATCGCGAAAACTCATCTATTGAGCTGAGGAACAATAGAAAGAAGGCATGTATGAAAAAAAAAACTTCAGTTCCTTCTTCAAATATAGATTTTTAAGATCCCATCACGATAACAACGATTTCTGAAGGCTGATTTACACGGTACGATTTGTCGCGCGCGACTTGTCGCCCATTGTAAGAGAATCCGGAATCCGGAATCCAGTAAAAATACAGATTTGGAATCCGGAATCCCTGACCTGGAATCCGGAATCCAACTATTTGGAATCCAGAATCTGGATAGTTAGAAAGATTGCTTTTATCAGTGAAAATCTAGCTGTCTAGAGGTGAGAACGTACATCCAACTGATATGCTGTACTTTATTGTACTTAATATACGTAGTTTGTTTGTCAACGTGCGACAATTGGAGACAGTGCAAATTAGTGACGCGCTACCTTGCGTTGCCGGCGCCCTGCGCAGGCTACTGACGCTGAATATAATTTTTTTAGGAAAAAAAGACACTGGAAATCACTCCATTCATTATACAGAATCCAAAACAAAAATTCTTTGTAATCCGGAATCCAGCGCTTGGAATCCGGAATCCTCTAGTTCTCTGGATTCTCTTACATGGGGCGAGACTTGTACTATAAGATTTTCCTACTTCAAGTCGTAGGATTTTAAGCAGTGGTTCAAAATCCTACTACAAGTCGTAGGTTGCGTACGACTGTTGTAGACAAGTCGTAGGGGCATTTACACTGCGCGATTCAAGTCGTATACTACAAACAGTTGATAGAGTGCACGCTTTTCCAGGTTTTCCTGGCCGTTGAACATGAATATGACTTCATATCTTCTTATCTTCCATAGTTCAGGATTCAGGATCCTCGTGAGCCGAAGGACGAGAACGACGCTCCTTAATTATATGGAAAACGTAAACAACTGGAAATGACACAACATGCACAAACATAAAACACAAATACAGGACACCTGGCACAAAAACAAGAAGAGAACCCCAAAAAAGAACGAACAAGACTAAGAAGCGAGTTTTGCCAAAAATGCAGGCCAAGGACCATTCGCTTTCAAGTAACATGGAAAAATAGCCACCACGATCGAGGTTGACATTTTGGCTGATGCAGTTATGAGTTCCTATGGTTAAAGCGGAAACAAAGATTAAAAAAACAATGACAATCAACTCAAAAGTGTCTGCTTTCCCAGGTGTTTCTTCCTTGTTTGGTGAGTTCGCTTTGTCTGCTTTGGCATCTTTTCCTGGCGTGTTTGCGGCCTTAATCGATGTGTCTTCATTTCCTGGCGTGTTTACAGACTTGTGTGGTGTTTCTTTTTTCCCTGGCGTGTTTACAGCCTTGTTTGGTAAGTCTTCTTTTCCAGGTGCGTCTGAATGTTTTGGAGACAAGCCATGAGGATCAAACTGGAGACGAACAAGAAATGCCAAAAGAATAATCACGATTGATGCTTGCTTGACATCTGGTTCTACTACCCAAACTGCAATCAATGCTAACAGGGCTTTGACGACATAACGCAAGAAGCAACGATGAAACCTGGCACTTTCCAAGTAGTCTGAAAAAGCCGCTTTGTCGCTTTCTTTCTTTATATTTCTCCTCCTTTTTCGGACAAAGAAAAAGATATCAATGACGAAAAGGAAAGAGAGTAAAGTTAAGAGTAACATGAGTGGCAACCCATTGGAATCAAGGAAGCAATATGTCATGCTTCGTTGTTCTTTATCCAGTACCGGGTCTTCAGGCGCAAACTGGTTGTGGCACCGGTCTTTAATCTTCTGGCGAAGGGACAAAGTGAATACCATATGTGTCAGAGGGAGAAAAAGATATGGTGATGTATCTTTCAAAATATCAAGTCCTTCAATCAAAGTAAATATGAAGTAATTTCTTTGGCTTAGTGTTTGTTTTGGTGACGTTGTCGGCTCTTCCGATAAATTTGTCAGCTGGTTTTGTTGTTCTTCATGTTGGTCTTTCAGTGGACCTAATGGTAGGGATAATGCTTTCTCTGATCCTGATGCTGTTGGCTCAGACGTTAAATCTTTCGGCTGATTTTGATGCCCTTCATCATCAACATCTGACTTACAACACTTGAAATATTTTGAAAGGTTTTTGTAAAAAAGATAAATAAGAGTATACGCGAGACAAAAGGCAAAGGAAATGAGAGGGTAGTATACCTTTTGCCAAAGTTGAACACCAAGGAATACTGGAGGGGAACCACTAAAGGATTTGGCTTGCCATTTGACATGCCTTGCCGGCTGTGTAAGTATGTTTTCTGGCGATTCTTCAATTATTAAGCCTAAGGATTGATATCCAAACACAATGCACAAGATGTATCGAATGCCATTATGCTCAGCAAAAAGATCTGATAAACGAGCACGAGCAGATTTAACAGCGTTGAAGAAATCACAACACTTGTCTGAAAACCTACAGCATGAACTGCAACAACTACAACTATTAGAATCTCCAGATTCCTGACAGAATTTGCAAATGCTATGACAGCAATTGCGACAACTACAGCGATTAGAATCGCCAGTTTTGCCTCGGGAATAGATAATGTAAGAAAAGAAAAAAAGTGAAAAAAGACCAATAATGCTATAGTATATGGAATCATGCGCCTCATCGTATGGCACGCACTGACTTCCAAACAATGTTTCCACAAAACCATCTTTGCACCGTCCACATAGCACTCCTGTTCTGTTGCCACAGCAATGGTTATATTTCTTAGGACTCGGTAACTCTTGTCCTTTTGGCATTGAGCAGCATCTCCCTGTGAGACAGTGAGAACAACTGACTTTATCATTTGTTAAGGTATTGTAACACCACCAGTGTTCCTTGGCAACGATATTTTCGTTTTCACCGCAGTATGCACCATGGGGGCATGTTTTGGAACAAATTCGAGTCCTTTTGGTGTTTGGCCAGGAACCTCGCAATGGGCTGTAGAGTCCAATTCCACAAGATTTACAATTCCAGATGTACACGATGGTTTGACGACTTTCTCCTGATTTGGGCAACAGCGTTGGGAATGATAAGTTCTGGAAGTCAACCCAAGTACCTGTGGGACATGTGATTCTCATGGCGCCTTTCACATAGAAAGCATGGATTTTCACAAGAGACTGCAGACTGCCTCTTGTGTCAGAATCAATGGAGCTATCCACCATTGTGACTTTGCCGCTGTTGATGGAAGACAACATGTTTGTGCCTTCATTCCTTTTTGGCATCTTAGTTTGGTGAAATAATGTGTTCTGAAAAACTGTTTCCACCATACCACCCCCCACATATACATGCCCTCCCTCATCTAAAGCAAAATTATCACGGAAATTACAATTGATGAAACTTAAATTCCCTCGAAAGGTTTTGTCAGGTGCAATGCAAGCTGCCCCCCCTTTGTTTGTAGCCCTATTGTTAAAGAAATTACAGTTCACAAACCTAGCAACTACCTCGTGGTCTACTGACGTATCATAGAAACAATTATATGTTCCTTCTCTCACTTTGCACGTCCACGATTCCATTAACACACCTGCTCCAAATGCCGCCTCTAGGCCCATGAATGTAGAATTGATGACTTCCAGAGTGTTGTTTTTTTGCTCAATGCGAAATAGAATCGCTGAAGTCTCACCGTTTGTTGAAGTGAGATTGATGACTTTTGCATTACTGTCTCCGTCAAATTCAATGTGAACGCAACCGTATTTCTGCACTGCAACTGGCTTTCCGATCTTTTTACCTTTGTTCTCTTCAAATCTTAAATCTCTGAGTACCACAGAGCCTGGCCCATCTTCTACATCGATATATATGCATGATCCTGGTCCTGAACCAATGTCTAGACCTTCGTTGCTTAGAAACGTAGATCTTGAAATTTCCACATCAGAATACAGTGAGTTATTTGAGTGCACTTGAATGCCAGACCACTGCCAATAATTGTTTTTTGATTGTGAATCTAAAATGCTTACTCTGGTTGTCATATTTGTGACTTCACTGAAAACATAAACTCCTCTAAATGCGACGTTGCTGTCCATCGTGAAATTGGTGAAACAAACTTTTAGGTCACTATATACGTTAAGGCCCGACAAACTGATTTCTAAAAGGCTTGTGTTTTCTGCCTTATTCTTTTTGAATGTTGTGTCTTTTATGATGAAAGCATCCCCTCTAGAAATCCCAGGCGATCCACCAAAGTCAAAGCTCAACATCTTCCCTTCGTTGTCCTCAAAAGTAGATTTCAGTAAGGTCACGTAAGGAGTTACGTCGAGCAAATCGTAACGTCCTCTTATAGCATAGCGAGAAGTCTTCGTTACAATTACATCTTGTAAGACGATACTGGAATCGTTTATGACAATAGGAGTGTTCGTCAGAGTAAGCCTTGTAAAATTGACTGTTATATTTGAAGTAGTTGGATGAGAAGACTTGATGTTTATCATTGGACAAGAGATGTTCGCACGGCTTGTATTGCTTGATGTTATGTTGACATTTATGGAGATTTCTAACGGCTGTAATTTGCAGTCATAAGGGTGCAGAGAGGTCCCTGTTCCATCCAGCTCAATAACATCGTGATTTTCAGCAACTTGCAGAGCCCCAGGGAGGGTGGCACAGGCTTTTTTCCAGGTTGTCCCACATGTAGGATGGTCTCGTCCAGACAATGACGCAGTCTTAATGTATCGTGCTTGTATGGACTTGTGACCTAATTTCAAATGGAAGCTCAATTCAGTTTTGTCAATCTATCATAATGAAATGCATGAAACTTTGCAGATTGCATGAAATTCTAATGAGCCTTTTCACGAAACTGCGACGTCATCAACTCAAAACAATACTCCCCCTCCCTCTCTGATCAGAACTAAATTTTACCACAGGCAGCCTAACCTCATTTTGAGCACTTAAATTTATCATACTCTGCATATAGATTTAGCATAGCATTGTATTCAATTATTTTGTAGTGCATCGGTCTTAATTTTATTGTTGTTGGGGTTTTTTAACTTTGTTGTATTATTAATGTATTGTTGATGTGAAATATTCTAAAAGTGCATTTCTTAAAATACCACAGTATGAATAAATTTGTCAGACCCTCGATTTAAGCGAGTTTAATGACATCAATCCGCTGAGAGGTGGGGAAAGGAAAATACTTTCATGCAAAATTTGGTTGTCATAGTACCATTGGTATTCAAGATATGAGCGTCGTTTTGGTTGGATGGCTACATAGAAATCCCTTAGACTCAGCAGGCTTCATGACCTGAGTCAATTTTACAAGGACGTGTTAAATGTGGTCCTAAAGTCGCTTAAAACTCGACTATTACTTTCTCTTTGACACTAAGCTGTTCGCCGAAACAGCTTTTTCTCTAATGCCCTTCATAAAATAATAATAATAATAATAATAATAATAATAATAATAATAATAATAATAATAATAATAATAATAATAATTTTATTTTATACAGCGCTTATACAAATCTGCTCTAAGCGCTTTCAAATTACAAACAATTACAATGACAGAGTCATGGTAGACTGCGAGCTTAAGATGGCGCCTCATGGCTGCCGCTCTTAGTCCGTCCCAAGATATCAAACTTAAAAATTACAACAATAAAAATTAAAATATAAATGACACTACAAAAAAATACATACAAGGAATAAAGAAGCATGCATGATGGCCGGTGGCTCAGATGAGCTCATTCGCCCTTTGACAGGTCTTGTTTTTAGTCCTGCTGGGTGTACATGCCACCCTCCTCACCAGTTAGACTAAACAAATTCCACAATTTCTAAGAAAGGGTTTTTATAACGTCACATAATTTTGCCATTCTTAGGATTATCGAGGTACGCTTTTATCAGAATTTCCTTTAGGTTTATATACACTTCGTTCATAGAGTACAAACATTAAATGGGTGCAACACTTTACACTATTTCTGACTATTTACAACAAAATAGTGTTAATAAAACAATAGAAAACAATAGAAGACCGTATAATTAGAAGAATTTAGTGGTATTTATGTTGCACAGTTTTAGTGTTTGTACTCTACCAGAAAGAAATTGAAGTATATACATTTGAAAACTTGCAACGGCAGAGGCAAACCAAGTGAGTCATTGGTATAAAAAGGAAAGAACTTAGAAATCGCTCGTTCTGCTTTTCGGTTTGAACAATGCTACTGACCTGAGCTTCAGTTCATTTATATTAGCACAATAAAATCGATGAAATTTGATCGTTATAATCTGAAAAGAAATGGAAGCTTCTCAAAGGTAGGTTTAGTTTCACTTTCTGTCTGGGTGAAGCGAAAGCCGGAAGGAAGACCTGACTACTGTTTGATAAAACTCACCTGAAAACAAAATTATCAGCAAACTCAGAAAATGCCAGTCCACCACACCGCAACGTACCATAGTAGATTACATGTATTGCAGAAAATAGCTTGTGATTTTCCAATCAACGCTTGACCCCAGAGCTTTACTACTAACTCTGTTACACCGCCGCTAACAAAGATATGTAAATTTGATCTAGACGTTTCAGTTGGTCAACAGTTATGACATAATAATAATAATAAATAAATTTTATTTATATAGCGCAAACATGTCTAGGATTCAAGGCGCTTTACATATTCAAAAATATCAATATACAAATTTGAAAATTTACATTAATTACTATGAAAACTACATTTAGAATATCTATTTACACTAAAAATTTGAAAAAAAATAACTAAAAATAATATTATGTAAGTAATATGGCAATGGATTGTCTGATTGATACTAATAATCAAAGGCTTTTTTGAACAGATATGTTTTAACGTTCTTTTTAAAAGAAAATAGAGTCCTGCTTGATTTAATGTCATGTGGTAATGTGTTCCATAATAAAGGTGCAGACACTTGGAAGGAACGTCGTCCATATGTCGTCCACATTTAAGATAGCGACAGGGTATGAGGTCATCAGACATCAGACAAATTCAATTCACAACGATATTGTGAGATTAGCCTCCTTCGCTGTCTTCAGTAGGTTACAGCCAGTGGATTTGAAGAAAAGGGATGCTTTTCAACGTTTTTGCGTTTTTGCAAGAAGGAAAATAGAATAAGAGGACAGTGAATCAAGATGAAACATTACAAGATAAGCTAAGACTATCCATGAGGAGG